GAGCTTTCGCTGGCAGTCAATGCCAGCTTCATCAGGTGTGTCATTGAAGCTGGCATTAACTGCCAGCGAAAGCTCATGTTGAATATCATCCAAGTTAGTCTCTAACTGCTGCCTTTTAATTTTCTTTGTATATTGTTTAGACTAACACGGCTTCATTACCACTTTTACCATTATGTCAATTTAATAGTAATTCAACCAGGTTGCGAAGGCTACGCCATTCATTAGTTTTACCATACTGTAGGTCGAAACATGTTCTGTCTAGAAAGTATAATACATACTCCAAGTCTAGAGTCAATCAATTCTTTGACCTTGAAGGTCATCTAGGGTTTGTCAGAAATTCACTTCCTTTTCTTGACAATTTGAAAGGGGTTGTTGTAAGCACAATTCAGAATAAAGGAAAATGCATCAGTCTTTTGATACATTATTATCCTCCTTATCAAGAACATTTTGCCAGTCGTAGGTTGCAATCCACTGACCAAAAGACAAAACCGACGAATGACGATAGGGTTGCAGGCACGCAGCTTTGTTTTTTTTTTCAGAGGTAATTCAATCTTCAGTTCAACTTAGATAGTATTATGATCGCTAAGGCATAATGATGTCAGTCTCTTAGGAGTATCTTACAGATTTGTGTAGTTAAGAAAAAATTAAATTAAATAAGGAATCCTTTCTTGTTGAAAAGTTGACAACCTGCGTTAATCCAACATTAGGTTCAAACTGAGCTAGATCAAGGTTGTTAAATATAGGATGGAGCAGCAAGATTTTATAATTTTATATATTGTACGTCACAGGAAATGCAGTCTTGTCATTGCTATTAATGAATAAATAGAAATTGAAACTGTAGTCTCAAAGATTTTAAGTTTAAGATACAGCTCTTCTCACTGACGTAAATAATATATCTCAGTTGAAATAATTTGTTTTCTATATTATAGGGAGCATTCAACCAACTGGGCAACAGACACTACAAGGTATTCTTAAGAGTTCAGTTTGTATTTTCTGATTAATAGAAAATGTATACATTCATTTACATTAATTTTGATTGAAACTCCAAAATGTGATAAACCTGAGATTCGAACCCGACACGTGTCGCTTACAAACGCTTACGTACTGGGATAACGTTTATTGATTTTATTATCCTTACGATTATTGTCGCTCCAATTGGCATTATGGTCTATAACGCCTAAATTTGCAATTAAAGGACCAGTTGAATTGAATCAGTCATTAACAGTAGACATAGAGTTAATTCCAGCTTATACCAGCATTTAGTAATGGACCAAATTAATATTGAATATCAATATTGTTGCAATGCAATAAATATCATTTTTAGTGGACTGTTCAAAATAACTAAAAGTTGTTTTCCAAATCTCACTGCCGGTGGAGGTTGGGGTAAATGGCATTCATCGAAAAAAAACAAAAAAACAATTCGTATTAGGAGGCTCTATAATTCACCAGAAACAATGCGTTATATTATCATGACGTTACTCTCCACGACAAGACCTTGTGCTTCATATCATCTGTGATATAGGCCTTGCATTATTCGGAAACTTGTGATACATTGTGCTTTAAAATTTGGAGGAATTCACCAAAGTCATTAAAAGCCTTCTGTTAATGCTGGAAAATGGATTTTTTCACGAAGTTTCCACCATGTACATTAACTATTGAAGCTTTCTGTCCCTGTCATCATTTTCCATATTCAAGCTAGAAAATTCTTAAATTTGAAGACATCCACAATAATAATAATAATAATAATAATAATAATAACAATAACAATAACAATAACAATAACAATAACAATAATAATAATAATAATAATTTATGTAGCCTGTCTCTTATACACATCTAGATGTGTATAAGAGACAGCAAATAGAAACATGCTGTAAAAGTCGTATCAAGCATAGCTCATTAACGACACTTTCCTTTTATTTCAATTGTACCTTTTCTCCTATAATTGATTGAAACAAAAAGTTAAATCGTCAGTTGTATGGGAAAAGGTATTTGGTGTTAATATGATGACATTTTTTCATACAAAATATTTTCCTTAGTTTTCAATTATAACATCATATTTTACTGTATCTTAGTACTGTAGGGCTACTATTATTTATTTATTTATGTATTTGTATATAATGCGTTTACAGTGCTAAGCTACAAACATAATACAGTAGCAAGATCGTATATTATAATTTGATAACAAAATCATATTTTTTTTTAAACTTAGGGTCAACTCAACCAAGTAAACCACAAGAACAACAAGGTAATACTTAATATTTTAATTTATATTTCTTTCGAGAAAAACATACCCACACGCGCGCACAGACGCCCACTGACACACACACACCCACACCCACACACATTATATTTATTTATTTATTTATTCAGGTGTAGATGAAATATACAAACGGCAGCCAAAGAATGGCTGAAATGACTGTATTTACAAAATTAGAATATATTAAAAAATGCAAGAATATTAAAAATATTATATACAAAATTGCTGCAAGAAAATACATAAGAAAATTTACATTAAACACTTACTAGACTCAATAATAACACCAAAAGATTACATTAATGACATCAAAATACAATCGGTATAACAAATTTAAATATATAAAAATATGATTTTTTTTTTCAAATTAATAAATTGTTTCAAATACAAAATAAAAGAAATTATAAAGTTAGGAACACAACAAGTAATTAATCCACCACTAATTAATCCATCAAATAATTAATGTTGCTCATTAAGCAAGTTAACAATAGTAGGTATGGATGAATTTTTCATTCTTGTGGTTTTACTGAAGGGAACAATCGGTTCGATCTAAGAGGCCTAGTCACTTGATAATAGGGGGAAGAAAATCTCTGGACATGTCAGACAGCAACAAACTTTCTCCAAAAGAAAAAACTAGTCTTTCCCTTCTTGTCACAAGGATTGGTAATCCAGTAACAGAGAGGGTATGGTCATGCAGCAAATAATTTAATCCTGAAATTATACCAAAAATTCTCTTTTGTAGCCCTTCTATAGACTTGGACATGTGTTTAGTAATAGCACTATGCCACACAAGGGCAGCATACTCCAAAATAGGCCTTATATAAGCCACATAGACAGTTAACAGGTCAGCAGTTGAAGTGTTAGCTTTCTTCAGGATGAATAGGGAAAATAACCATCGAGAAGCTCTGGAGATATTATTATTAAGTATTAAGTTCCCATTTTAAGTTATTTTGAAAGTGTATCAACACGACCAAACGCCTTGGTAAAGTCAATGGCACAAGTTGACGTAACTCCCCCCACCCCTTTCAACATGGGTATGGGGTATGGGTAAATTGAGTGAAGCGATTGCATTACAAAAACTAGATAAATTGTTATTAATAATATTAGTAACTTCCTCTTTAGAACAACCATGTATGGTAAAATTAGAATTGGTAGTTTTTATATTACATAACTGTTTGATTCCTTTTAGCCACTTGGCAGGGTTATTACACTTGAGATGTATTAAAGATTTACGATAGTAATTTTCCTTCGCCTCTGAAATTGCTTTATGTACCAGGTTGCGAAGGCTACGCCATTCATTAGTTTTACCATACTGTAGGTCGAAACATGTTCTGTCTAGAAAGTATAATACATACTCCAAGTCTAGAGTCAATCAATTCTTTGACCTTGAAGGTCATCTAGGGTTTGTCAGAAATTCACTTCCTTTTCTTGACAATTTGAAAGGGGTTGTTGTAAGCACAATTCAGAATAAAGGAAAATGCATCAGTCTTTTGATACATTATTATCCTCCTTATCAAGAACATTTTGCCAGTCGTAGGTTGCAATCCACTGACCAAAAGACAAAACCGACGAATGACGATAGGGTTGCAGGCACGCAGCTTTGTTTTTTTTTTCAGAGGTAATTCAATCTTCAGTTCAACTTAGATAGTATTATGATCGCTAAGGCATAATGATGTCAGTCTCTTAGGAGTATCTTACAGATTTGTGTAGTTAAGAAAAAATTAAATTAAATAAGGAATCCTTTCTTGTTGAAAAGTTGACAACCTGCGTTAATCCAACATTAGGTTCAAACTGAGCTAGATCAAGGTTGTTAAATATAGGATGGAGCAGCAAGATTTTATAATTTTATATATTGTACGTCACAGGAAATGCAGTCTTGTCATTGCTATTAATGAATAAATAGAAATTGAAACTGTAGTCTCAAAGATTTTAAGTTTAAGATACAGCTCTTCTCACTGACGTAAATAATATATCTCAGTTGAAATAATTTGTTTTCTATATTATAGGGAGCATTCAACCAACTGGGCAACAGACACTACAAGGTATTCTTAAGAGTTCAGTTTGTATTTTCTGATTAATAGAAAATGTATACATTCATTTACATTAATTTTGATTGAAACTCCAAAATGTGATAAACCTGAGATTCGAACCCGACACGTGTCGCTTACAAACGCTTACGTACTGGGATAACGTTTATTGATTTTATTATCCTTACGATTATTGTCGCTCCAATTGGCATTATGGTCTATAACGCCTAAATTTGCAATTAAAGGACCAGTTGAATTGAATCAGTCATTAACAGTAGACATAGAGTTAATTCCAGCTTATACCAGCATTTAGTAATGGACCAAATTAATATTGAATATCAATATTGTTGCAATGCAATAAATATCATTTTTAGTGGACTGTTCAAAATAACTAAAAGTTGTTTTCCAAATCTCACTGCCGGTGGAGGTTGGGGTAAATGGCATTCATCGAAAAAAAACAAAAAAACAATTCGTATTAGGAGGCTCTATAATTCACCAGAAACAATGCGTTATATTATCATGACGTTACTCTCCACGACAAGACCTTGTGCTTCATATCATCTGTGATATAGGCCTTGCATTATTCGGAAACTTGTGATACATTGTGCTTTAAAATTTGGAGGAATTCACCAAAGTCATTAAAAGCCTTCTGTTAATGCTGGAAAATGGATTTTTTCACGAAGTTTCCACCATGTACATTAACTATTGAAGCTTTCTGTCCCTGTCATCATTTTCCATATTCAAGCTAGAAAATTCTTAAATTTGAAGACATCCACAATAATAATAATAATAATAATAATAATAATAACAATAACAATAACAATAACAATAACAATAACAATAATAATAATAATAATAATTTATGTAGCGCCTCACGTTGACACAACCTCGAGGCGCTTGAAAATTATTACCCCCGGATCACTGGATAAAGCACATATGGAACACACACTCAAGCCCCATGGGGGAATTCCATAATGGTGTAGCTGTAATTAACAGACCAATGATAATAAGGAAAAGTGTACATCCAAGACCACATCATCATCATCTTTATCATCATCATCTTCATCATCATCATTATCATCATCATCATAATTATTATTATTATTATTAGTAGTAGTAGTAGTAAATCAGTTATTTATTAAATTCACAAAATTGCCTCTTCATCGAATTTCACAAAATTGCATCTTAAACATACCTGTACAATTCCTTTAAATTAATTCCTTTATCCGTATTAATTCTTGTGTATTAAGTCTCATGCAGATATTGTTTGTGTGTGACATGTACGCATTCTTTTGATCTGTGCTTCGTCTGCTTTCAACCCAGAAAAAAATGCGGAGGTAAGTAGTGCATCAATATAGAGCAACAGCCAAATGTATTATCTTAAAAAATTGATTTATAGTGATTAGGCCTATGTTATAATTAAGCATACATTTTCTCATGTTATGAAAATAATAAAATATCAGTTAATATATACTAAATCATGCTGTATTTCACATCTAACTTGTTATATAACATTCTTACGAGTTTCACAGGCCTATAAGTTGTAAATTAACATTATATTTAGTATCGTCTGACATGAAACAACATTAAAGATATATTCTCTTTTATACAGAGAGCACCGAAGCCAACGAGAATATGGGACTACCAGGTAATCATTCTTTAACTGTACTTATGTTATTTTAAAATTTATTTCTTCCTTGTACTGGGTGACCTGGTCAGGGCAGAGAGCATTTTTATCCTCAAGGGTCCAGCAACACATACAATAAAAAAAACTCGAATGACAAATCCAAATACATACGATCAATAAATGCTATAGAAATTTAAAGTTTAAATTGTAAAAGGAAACAACCCTACCTAGTATCCAATTGGTTGGGACGATCCCCAGAGAGAGAGAGAGAGAGAGAGAGAGAGCGAGTGGGGAGAGAGGGGAGAGGGAGTGAGAGAGAGACATATTACAAATGAACGCAAGATGTTCAGCATATATTAGTGCAGCTGCCTTAAGAATTTGAGGATTGAAACCATCACGACAGACAGACAGACATGTTCAACTTAAGCACATTCAACATCCTTGCAAGATATTGTCTGAAAGAAAAAGATTCTAGTATGTTCAACAGTGCTATATTTATCGTTAAAATTATTCGCAGTACGGATACTGGTCATTACTTTTCAAAATTATCGTCATCATCATAGTGATGTAGACGGATTATAGGTGAATTATCTAATAGTTTATGCTGTAATATATATATAAAGTGAAATCCGACAGAGATCAAAGCGGTCAAGCATTGAGAAAGTGGTATTATAGATTAAACAATTCCTAATTAAGCGTACATTAAGCTTATACTTTATATAACCCACTGTAACTATACAGATGTTTTATATTATAACCTATAGTTTTATTGATTTTTAATTCATATATTCCAGCATTTACTTTATAAAATTTCATAATTATTCACTTATTGTGTAGTTGTATACACTTGTATTGTATACACTGGGCCTACGTTTTATAGTCCATTTCCTAGAAGACTTGTTCTACCACCAGAACCATAGGCGAGCTTGCCGTTCGAACCATCGCCGATATCAGGGCTATAGCCTGCGGCACCCCTGCTAACCGCTCGGCCATTATACTTATTGTTATTATAATTAAGCCACTATGATTAGCTTTAACCATCTAAACTAATTCCTTCCTTTAACCAATCGCTAATAGATATGACTTTCCATACCTTGGGAGTCACTTTTCCACTAATGTGGTTCTGGACGGCGAGATACAACACCGTCTAAAGTGCTCTGAAGCAACTTTTGTACGTCTTCGAACACAAGTTTTCCAAGATCACGATATCCGATCAGACATTAAGGTGTTAGTTTATAAGCGGTGGTGGTTCCAACGCTCCTATATGCTTCGGAGACCTGGACAACATACCGACGGCATCTAAAGGCACTTGAAAAGTTCCATCAACGCTGTCTTCGAAGCATCCTAAAAATAAGCTGGGAGGACAGAAGGACCAATGTCAGTGTCCTGAATGAAAAAAAAAAAAAAAAAAAACAAAAAAAAAAAAAACAAAACAAAACAAAACAAAAACAAAAACAAAACATGCATCAAAGCCTTCATTATAAAAAATTAACTATGGTGGAGTGGTCATGTTGTTCACATGGATGACAGCCGGCTGCCGAAGCAAATATTCTATTCCCAACTTAAGGAAGGCAAGCGTAAGGTAGGTGGACAAAAGAAAAGATTTAATGACAGTACACCTTAAAAGCAAACATGAAAAAAATGTAACATCGATGTTAACAATTAGGAAGTCAATGCCACAGATACACCACTTTGGCGAACCATTATTTGAGAAGGAACAACATCCTTCGAACTCCACCGATGTGCAGAACTCCATGAGAATAGAAGGAAACGAAAAAAGAGGCAGCTGCGACCAAATATCGATCTGCCTACATTAACTACCTGCCCTCAATGCCAAAGAACTTTTAAGGAACAGGATTGGATTCATAAGCCACATAAGAGTTCACCAACAATTTACAAAAACATAGACCATCATCCTCGATCTCGAGGGATAGCCAAGAGAGAATAGATATGCCAACTTGTACATAGTGTTTATATATCAGTCATGCTGATGCTGAGGAAGTGCTGAGGACAGGTCGAAATATTCATGTTGAAAGAAGCAATTACTGAATAATGTTGAACAAACAACGTCGACAAAAAGTGAACATAAAATACCATGCTTTGCTTTAGTAATTTTGCGTAACTTAACTGTCCCTAGATTTAAACGTTTTAGGATACGCAAATTTCCCTATTATTCAAATTATTTTAAATGACACCATAATTATTTTAATAATATCTTTGATATAGGCCTAATGGTCTTTGTCTGACAAAGTTTAAAGAAGGTCCAAGCATGGAAAGTGACCGAAGTGCAAAACAGAAAATCCCTGTTTACATAATAGAAAACGGGATAGAAGATAAAAGAAAAACTATTATTAGAATTAAAAATAATCAACCTAATTCTACTGTAACTCGAACCAGCACAGTAACAATTTTGGCTAGGGTAAAATGTAAAGCAGAGAAGCCGAGCCTGTGAAGGATAAGGCATATTTGTTGTTAGCCTCGCGTAACTTCATAGGTTGAGTGCTAAAATTGTTGGTGCCATAGACGGTAATTTTGAGTTTAACAGGTAGGTGTAGCTAGTGTGAAAGCATTTTACCTCAGTCGGCTTATCTGGTAAAAGCCATTGTGTGCGCAGAACCGTGGAGATAGATATGTAAGTCCCCAGTTCAATTCCCATCGCTTCATGCCTCTCCTTGTGTTTTAGATGAAGGGCTGAAATACAAGTTACAATAGCAAACCATCTTTCGGATAAGACGTTTAAGCCGTTGGTCCCGTGTGTAAATGTATGGCCCATGTGCAAGTTAACGAACGTTGTACACTCTTCAAAAAAAGTTGGGGTTTGCCTAACAGAACAAAAACAACTGTTTTTTTTTTCGCTAGTGGGGCAAGAAAAGACAATCAGAACAACAAGAACAATAGCTTCTCCTCTAATGGCAAAAGCCGGAAATGCAGCGAAATTAGAGTGAGTTGTGTTAATAGATGCCTAAACGATCATAGCGCATTTAGGGTGGGAGTGGGAAAAATAATAAAGACAAAATGAAAACCTGACATGTTGTACTAAGTTTAGAGTTTAATAAATGTGGTATGGAGAGGTGAGATTTTATGAAAATGATGAAGATGGTCGCGGAGTAATCTCCCACGATCATCTTTAATTTGTTGTAGAAATTTTGGACATGGCCACAAAGTTAGCCATGATTGTTGTTACAGACCACTATTTTCACACTTTATATTAGGCGTACATTTTGTGGCAGCATTTTCTTATAAAATGTTCATTTATCTTCTCAAACAGGACTATGTGTATAAACCATTTTCTTACATTCTAAATAATTATTAGACAATAATAATTGTAGAGACATATAGCAGTTGACACAAAGCACAATTATGACCATAACCGTTTTCTCCCATCTCCGGTAAACCGTTTTTTTTTTCAACCCCAATGGCATGTTTAAAGTACTACCTCCCTTTAGATCAGGAAGGCCAACAATTTTATTTTCTTTCCTGTCGGCTACACGCGCACCACACAAACGCCCGATATAATGTAGGGTGCTGTAAATAGCATCAACATCAAGCCATATGAGTATCGGAAGCTAGTGCTATCGCCTAGTTTCCGAACTTTCAAAATACGATATTGCCCCGATCGTTTTGCCCCACTCACAAATAATAATTGTCGTTGTCAGGATTTTCTGTAAATTAATTTTGTCTCAGTTAACCATTGCATTTTACATTTTTGTGTTTAGACCTATGTAGATACTGTGAGTTTGAGAATTGTACGCATTGTTCTTCTAAGTGCGTGGTCTGTGGAAAACCCAGGAGAAGGTGTAAAAGTAAGTATAAATCATAAATGAAACAATCATTAAAAAACTAGATTTGCTATGCCTGTAAAAAAGAACATATGACTTTTCCTCTTTGGTATAATGAAAAGGGATGTTAATTACAAACTTATTTAAAAATTACATAAAAAACAAAACTAACAATAAATCACAAAGAAGAATAATGAAGTAAAAAAAAAAAAGCTTAGCGAATAAGAGGTTTGCCTTCTATTCCCAAAAGCCTACGTTCAATTTCCGTGACAACTGGACGTTTTTCCACGACTTATAACAACTCCACTCCCTAAACCTAATATTTTATCTCTTACTTTTCTATTATTCTCTCTGTTGGAATGTTACACATTTTTTGTCAAATCATCAAACCTTTTAGCTCTCGATATCATCTATTTTCAGCTGCT